TTCTGAACCATGGATGTTCCTGGGTCAGACACACTTGGAGTACAGCGATTCAGGTGTACCAGTTTAGACTTAAGATTAGACTGTTGTGAAAATATTGGTGATGCTTACTTTGGGGAATTTCTCCACGGAAGACAAGATCAGAAAGATAGTTTCTCATAGTTCTCATCTTGGCATAAGCAGTGTAGTGTCCCGATCTCATTGTTCCACTATGTTCAACCACTCCATACAGAGAGTACAATACACTTGTATTCCCTTCAGCAACATTCTGTGAAGTGACAATTTTGTTACAGTGCCAGCAGAGTACAGATGATGAGATGTCACCGTAGCTGAAATGTCAGTGTTTCAAACAAGTCAGTTCTGATTCCACTGTTGTGTGGAGAGCCAGTTCCAATTCAACTTGTCAGCATAGAAACAATGTGTTAATGGCAATGGATGTAATCCAGTGGTCCCCAACCTTTAGAGGCTGCCGGGCGCCAGGGGGCGTGGCTGTTCGCCTGCCGGGCGCCAGAGGGCGGGAACACAGGCATGCCCGGGGGCGGGCCCCCCCCCCCGCAAGCGCCGCGCTCCCGGGGCCAGGCCCCCCCCTGCAAGCACTATGCGCCGGGGGGCCGGTGCCCCCTCCAGATGCCGTGCGCCCGGGGCCGGCGCCCCCTCCTCCCCCAAGCGCCGCGCGTCCGGGCTGGCGCGCCTCCGAAGCGCCACGGGCCCGAGGTCGGCGCCCCAGGGCCGGCGCTCCTCCTAAGCGCTGCGCGCCCGGGGCACAAGCAGCCAATTCGCGGCGCTCCCGGGGCTGGCGCTCACCATGTGCCCGGGCCGGCTACGGCACGATGCATGCACCACGTGCCCGGGGCCAGGCCAGCCCCGAGCATTTAGCGGGTGCACCGTGTTGGGGACCACTGATGTAATCAATATTTAAAACCTGAAGTACACTGCAGCAGAGTTCTAACCTAAGAATTTAACTATCCCGATTTATTGCCTTATGATGTTGTCTGTGAAGTTTTGAGACACAGTATAGGCAGATTCAGATTAATGGCTGATTGTTTTAGTGTGTTCTCAGAACAGTTTTCCAAATCACCAACCTTTTGCTGTAAAGGTTGACTGTTTTTTTAAACAGTATGATTTTTTTTTAATCTTACCTTGCATTTAATTGCACAGAAAGGAGCCAAGTCTATCACCTCTGGAAATTTTATGTGTTTGTTAACTTTCCGTAGATTAAATCCTGCCTAGAATAAGATAGAAATGAAGAAACATAAGAGTTTAAATCTTGATAAACAAATAGGAGATATGTCTTTTCTTAAAGGTTACACGTTTAGTTATTTTAAAAAATTCTAACAAGACTTCAGAGATTCGTTTTAGAGCACAACCAACCTTTGATGGACAACAAAATTTGGGGATAAGGGAGAAGAAAGACTTTATTCTACCAGTCATGCTTTTCAGTTCTTTATGGCCATATTCCAAATTACTCGTCTGTGATTTCTCTACTCTCTATCTGGAGCAGAGGGCAATATAGTACTTTAATTCAGATTTAGTACGTATTGGCATGAATGACAACTGCAGCTATACGTACAGCTACACAAGTACACTTATAGAAATTCTTATACGAGTACACGTCTGATCCATTGCTAGACAGTGCAGAATAATTTATACTACATTATCTAGCCTGGTTTTCAAAATCTTGTGATGAGCCTTCTATCACTTCCATTCAAATACTATTCTATAGCTCAGTAAGAACTAATGTTGAATATCAAGAAAAGCTTCCCATGTGTCTTTACTTTAATCACAAATATATCCCACTGGATCACTGTGCACAATTCTTCTCACTCCCTGGAGTTTCAATTACATAGACAGTTATATCCCTACTTAACTGTCTGGTCAGAATGCATTATACAATTAGTATTTTAAATTTGTAGTCAATCTTTTCCAATATTCATTTTCCCCTTCTAATTTCTCTCTAGTTTAATTACTGTATTTCTGATACTGAAGAGCCCCAAACAGAGCCATAATCTATGTACAGAAGGAATATTGCATCTCTAGTTAATATGATGCTTTATATATCTACAACCTCCAAAAATGCCTGGTCACAATGTAAACTTGTTTCTAATTTATAAGCCCACCATCAGCACTCAGATGTCTCTTAGGCTATGTCTAGACTGCAAGCCTCTTTCGAAAGAGAGCGTCTAGACTGCACGCGGAACTTTCGAAAGAGCAAGCCGCTTTTTCGAAAGAAAGCACCCAGTGAGTCTGGATGCTCTCTTTCGAAGAAGCCCTATTTACATTCAAGAACGCCTTCTTTCGAAAGAAGCACTTTCGAAAGAAGGCGTTCTTCCTTGTGAAATGAGGTTTACCGCCGTCAAAAGAAAAGCCGCGTTCTTTCGATTTAATTTCGAAAGAACGCGGCTGCAGTCTAGACGCAGGTGAAGTTTTTTCGGAAAAAGGCTACTGAGTCTGGACACAGCCTTAGTGTACTACTTTCTAGTTATGTACCTCTTAGAGCAAATCTCTCTTGTGGATCATCTTTCTCTATATTTAGTAAGTTTATTTTTCAGCATAAATCAATTTGTTTTGTCCATATTTAATTCTATATTCTTGGTAGTAATATCTCTATTCTAGAAGAACTCAAAAGTTCTAAAAGCTATTATGGTAGCATCAGAAATATTTCTGAAATTATCTATATATTACTTCTCAAGTTGTGGAAAGAATATTAGTTAATGGAACAAGTTTATCAGAAAATCAAGGTCTACTAACTTCCATGGGTTATTACTATATAATTTAAAAATACAAGAGTCTGCCAGTTAACAATACCTGTTGAAATCTCTTTAAGTGAAGTGTTAAAATTGGAGGAGCAAGAGAAATTAACATTTGCTTTTTGGCATTAGTGTAAACAAACTTCTTCGCACCTAAAGGAAAGAGAGAGAGCACCGTTGGTTGGATAGTCAAGAATAATTCAGTAACTTGCCATTCTAAATTTTTTCTAATGTCAAAGTTAGAGAAATCACATATTGGGGTGGAAACATGTTTTATTTCATACATTATAATATGCTTAAGGCACTGATGATTTCCCTTCAAAATTATATTTACAAGGTGCTATCTTCATGATGAGGTCCTACAAGGTCCTACTTCAAGAGATTAACTAGTGTAAATCAAATCACCACATCGATTGAATAGGGAGGGTTCTAACACATTTCTGGGATGTCTACAGAATTACACACTGAATTGTGCTTTTATTAGTCAGTTGAGCAAATTCCTGCATGTTCTCATCCTATGACTTATGTGCTGCAGTAATTATAAAAAGTTTAACATTTGAAGAGTTATAATTCTACAACACAGGAAAAAAAACCTGTTTTATATTTCATCCTATTGTAAGCCCCCTTGCTCTACACTGGTGGTAACTTGTAAGACAGTGGGGCTACTTGTGAGTAAGTACTCACTAGTAAGAGTAATGGGTTCAGTCTGGCCCTTAAATACTAAGTATCAATAGATCCAAGAGAAACTAGGAATGTTAAATGCATGTATTTGTGTAAATGTGTGACCGCTGAATTTTTCAACAATTACACGTAGGTAAATTTTTAAGATGGCTCCCCATGAGCAACTGCTCCCATTCCCCCCTCTCTCTCCGCTGCTGCCTCTATCAGCTGGCTCCTTTCATGTGCCAGCTCCTGCCTACCCCTCTCCTCCCCCTTGTTGCTGTCTCTGTTTAAGATTAACCAATTAACTGGGATCCTGTGGTCAGGAGGCCACTCCAGCCCGGTTGGGTCCACAGCATAGCAGACCCAGCCAGGCTGGGGCACCCTCCCGCATTCCTATGGCACAGTGGGCCCAGCCCGGTGAGGGGCTGCTCCAGCCCAGCTGGGCTGCTAGTTAAGCCGCTCTACCTGGTAAGCATCACCCTGTAAGGTTAATCCTTAACATCCCTATTTAGAGTGTGTGTGTGTGTGTGTGTGTGTGTGTGTGTGTGTGTGTGTGTTGGGGGGGGGAGGGGAAGATGGGGGTTAAGTTTGTAATTAAAACTTAATGGCTTACTTTTTCCACTAATCTTTGGTCCACAATGTCTTTGAGTACATACATCACAGAGCAATTTATTGACGTCACTGAGTTTCTCATTTCGGGTGAACTGATATAAACAATGAAGGATTGAACTTTCTTCTACGTTTAGATCTTCCCTGTTTGCAAGAGTACAAAAGGCTGTTTCTGGATCCTCATTCACTACCTCATATGTTCTTAACTCAGTCACATGATGGTCATCCAAGATATCCATATCAGAATCAGTAACAGCATCTAAGTGTAATTCTTCTAAATTTGTAGCAAGTTCCTCCTCTTCCCCATGATCATCTTCTTTAACACATGGATTGTCAAAGCCCCTAATATACTCAGCAGAAACGAAGTCTTCCATAGCAACATCCATACTGGTTTCATTATCTTCAAATTCTTTATCTGGATTTTCTATACTTTCATGCAGACTATCTACATCTGTACTATTCCTTTGAGCATTTAAATCTTTCTGATTTAAGGAAAGTTCTTCACATTCATTGGAAGAATCCTCTTTTTTTTTCAGGTCAGTGACTTCAGAGGTTATTTCTCCCTTTGTTTCTTTATCTTCCTTCACATTTTCTTCAGACAGTTCTACGGAACATACATTGGTTATCGGAAGCACCTTTCCTTGAATTTTTTGCTGCCGACGTTGGTTCTACAAATAAAAATATGCAGTGTGCAGTACAATAAAATATAAAAAGCAGAGAAAGTTGCTGTGTTTTTATTTGCTATGCATCAATTATTTAGGAAATACCTTATAACTTTAAGCCACAGAAGTTGCCATAAAAAGAGCAAATAATCTATTTCGGTGATTATGGCAGAGGGCATCAGCTCAAAATAATGAGTATTACTCTTACTGAGTTACTCAGTTGCAGTCTTCCCGCTTATAATTATACTTCCAATTATAACACTTACTGCGATCCAAATCTGAATTTCTTTCATGTCCCCAAAATGTTTTTTTCTAGACTACATACTCCAGAACCATCGGAGTGCTTCTCTTGTGACACTGACAAAGAGAAAAGCCTTCTGGTGTACATTAATGCTGCTTTAAATCAGGCAGCATATGACTGACTACTTCATTAGTTCCAGGGATATTACTGGTTGTGACTTTAGGAAAGCAGACAACAGAAAATAAATAAAACTTCATAATAGGTAACATCAGAGATTTGTTCCTGTAAACTTTGCACTTGAATGAGGAGAAATATTTAGTTGTCCTCTTGCAAATGATCAGTCTACAAAAAAAAGTAAGTTAAACAAAAAGTCTAGCATCTCATATTATGCCTGAAGTGAAAGTGCTTAATGTTTATTTTTGCACCATAACCAACCTTAGCTTGTTTTTTGGCCTGCTTCTTTGCTTTCTTCTGCAGGTGCTTACTTGCACCAGGATTATCACCCCTTTCCTTCATATAACTGTCATTGTCTTTATCCTCTTCATCGTCTTCATCCTCCTTTTCCTTATTTTTTTTAACATTTTTCTCATATGAACTTTTTTTAACACTCTAAAAAAATCAAAACAGAGCAAACAAAAATGGAGCAACCATCATAGTTTCAAAGACCAAGACTATGGATTAAAGATTTTAATATCAGTTATGTGATTGAGAAAAAAACAATACCCACAAAGAAAATTGCAGAGAGACTGGTATATTACTCAAAATTTTCAAATTAAGTTACTGACTTTTAGGTATTATAATAGAACATTGACATACACACATTCACTCACTCTAACAGCTTGATTCTGCTGCTCTTCCTGAGTAGTACCTTATTCTACAAGCATTCCTACTGCAATGTATGTTAGTGAGCAGTATTGTACTCTGCAAAGTCAGGGCAACAGAACCAAGTCATAAACATTTAGGGTATGTCTAGACTACATCCCTCTGTCGCCAAAGGGATGTACATTAGACATACCGAAATTGCTAATGAAGCGGGAATTTAAATATCCCGAGCTTCAATAGAATAAAAATGGCCGCCAGTTTTTGCCAACGTGGCACTTTGCTGGAAAAAGCAGCAGTCTAGACGGGGATCGGTCAACAAGGAAATGCACGAGGCATAAGGGATCGGTCGGAAAAGGCTTTCCTTGTTGACTGATCCCAGTCTAGACTGCCACTTTTTGCCCGCAAAGTGCCGCGTCGGCAAAAAGTGGCGGCCATTTTTATTCTAATGAAGCGCAGGATATTTAAATCCCTGCTTCATTAGCAATTTCGGTATGTCTAATGTACATCCCTTTGGCGACAGAGGGATGTAGTCTAGACATAAGATGAAACATAGCCTCCCATTTTATTGATATCAATCTCACTGAATTCACAAAAGATACTAACTATTTTAAGTAGTTTAAAAGGACTTCAATAAGAAGACAGTAAGTGTTTGCTTCAATTGGTAAGAAAAGAGGGCAGTATGACTCAGGAACATTTTACCCAAACACCTCTGGACTGAAACTTATTTTAAAGTTTCTTTCCTCAGTGTTTGTTTTCAGTGTACAGGTTGTACCTCCTTGGTCTGGAGCACCTTACCAGTCCCAAACCAGGGAATTTGCTGTACCAGGGGAGGTAACCACTGGCCCCTCTGCTGCTGTTGGCTGCGAGTCCCACTTCAGCAGCAACAGAGGGGTTGGCATTGACCGAATGGACATAGTGGGGGCACTCGGAGGAAGAGATAGAGTGGCTGGAGGGGCCCGTGCAGCCCCAACAGAACATACTGACCCCTGGGCTGCGCTCCTTTAGCCCCAGCTATGAGGCTCTGCAGCCACCCTGCCTCTTCCCACAAGTGTCACCCCTGTCCTGGCTCCTTTCCCTTCCTCTCTGAGCCTTAACTACAAACGAGCTCTTTGCGGTGTTCTGGAAGCTGTGGGAGGGCTGGAAAGGAGTTTCTGAGTGTGGGGTCCCTGGCTTTTCCTTGAGAGCTCCAGCCTGGGAGTACTCTCAGGGATGCCAGACCACAAATGTTGCTGGGCGAGGGAAATCCAGATTATAGAAGTTCAACCTGTAGTAAACCCTACATGTGTTTTGAAGATGAAAGGTGATAATGTGTGTGCTGATGGCAAAAAGAAACAGACAGATATAAATCCAAAACAACTGAAATGTTTATAAGATTGATCAATTAAATAAGTGCATTATCACAGTACCTGCTCTAACCTGGTCTCTCTTCACCTTGAGAGTATTTGATAGGAATCAGACTATCAGCATTAGTTGCAAGCCTCCATTACCATTCCCAATACAGTGAACAGACAGAAATTTGATATTTGAAGAGTCCTCTGATTTGCCTCAGGAAAGTATGGCTTTTGACACATTCATATAATGAGATATATTTACATTTTAGACTCGTGACCTTGAAGAATGCCTAGCTGCCCATCTGCGGTTACACAGCCTTTCAGCATAGTGGATTTTTTTCTTCGACTAAAACACTACTACTTAATGGCAGGAAGATTAGCTGACATACCAGTGCCTTGTCTGAAGTAGCATTTCCACTCAGATAATTTTCAAAGATTTGTGTGATCACAATCAATAGCACCTTACTTTAAGGAAATACATTACCATTCTCTCTAATTTTGTTGTGTAATTTTATTAGGTAAGGTTTTGCAACTACTTACGTTTTAAAAATTTCCTCTAAGGTCCAATTTAGAGTTAGAATTGCACCCCACAACAGAATATAAAAAAATACTTCTGGTTCTTACCTGATCATCTAACACAGGAAGTGACAAATCAAGGAAAGACTCATGGACCAAGGACACCTTAAGCAAACAGATGTTACTTACTATAATTAGAAAAACTTTGTTTACATTTCTAACAAAGAAAAACAAAAATTAGAAGCTAGCACTCTACAATTGATGTAATGAGGCCATTTATTGAAATCTAGTCATTTATTTACACACCTACCTATGGATTTAAGCTAATAATTTCAGGCATTCAAAAAAATCCTGGTTTAGAATTTTTTGAATGTAGTCTTCTGCCATGTATTTCCCTTCTCTTTTGTCTGTTTTCATGATAGTGCCCAATGCATGCTCTTACTTACACATACAAATATAAACAGTCATAAATTATATTTACAAACAGGAACCCATGAACCAAAACTAACATCCCTACTAAGATCCCTGCAGTTTTTCAAAATGAAGAGAAGCTGCTACACTATCTGCTCTGAGCATTCAGTTTTCATCTCCACATCAAGTACTAGGAGCACAGAATAGATCTGTAATACATGTGAACAGGTACTTGTCAAATTTTACATTTTGTGAAAAGAACAATTCCTGCTACCTAGTCTCCTTCATGTCATACATTCATAAATAATATCATTTCTACATATATTGCTTCTTGTTTCTTCCGTGCACAAGTCTTATACATGGTGTTTTAGACTATATCAAGCAGACCTTCTACTTACTGTTCTGCACTCCTCACACATGACTGTACTAGTTAATTCCCCACCAAAGATTCTGTCCACAAAAGTTGGTATTGCCCTTTTTTTTTCATACTCTGAAAATAGAGAATTAATTCAAATATATAAGTCACATACAATAACTACCTGTATATTAGTTACAGCTTTGGTTTGATGTTAAGCTGTTGTAAATAGGGAGAATGTAGTGTAAAGTCTTTGATTTGCATTTGTTTTGCTTTGTATTTGTTTTCCTAGAGGAAAAAAAATAAGCTTCACAGATTTTGAGAGGGGAGCAGGAAAGAAGGTGGTGGCACAAAGGTATGGCCAAAGAGAGGATGAAAGAGGTTGTTGGAAAATTAGTTTTAAATTGTTTAAACAGAATCAGCATCTTTATAAAATCTCAGTTGCTCCTCTTTCCTTCCCCACCTTCTCACAATTAATATACTGCAAGAAAATTTCACGCTTTTTCCCAAGATTTTTGAATAATCTAGTAACCATCTCATGTAAAATTGCAATCCTAACAAATCTCAAAACATAGTGGAGCTGGTCAGCACTTGTATGGAGACTCAAGAGCAAAGCCTAGTGGTTGGGATTTTTAACTTAAGCAAATGATTCTTCACCTCTTCCCCTGAATAGTTTGTATTGTTGCCATGCTCAAAGATGTACACCACAGTAGTAGCAGACTAGTGAAAGTTTTAGGTGTTATGTAGTGTCTGATCATCTAGAAATCATGTAATATATATAAGAACATAAGAACGGCCGTACTGGGTCAGACCAAAGGTCCATCTAGCCCAGTATCCTGTCTACCCACAGCCTCCTCTGGCAAGGAGTTCCACTGGTTGACTACAGGCTGTGTGAAGAAGAACTTTCTTTTATTAGTTTTAAACCTGCTCCCCATTAATTTCATTTGGTGTCCTCTAGTTCTTCTATTTAGGGAACTAATAAATAACTTTTCTTTATCGGCCCTCTCCACACCACTCATGATTTTATAGACCTCTATCATATCCCCCCTCAGTCTCCTCTTTTCTAAACTGAAAAGTCCCAGTCGCTTTA